GGAGGGCGAGGGGAGGGAAGGGGAGGGGATGGGAGGAGAGGAGAGGAGAGGAGAGGAGAGGAGATATATTTTAGCTTATTGCTTATTCTATCTTTTTTCAAGATCTTGTGAAGGTTGAGAATGTAGGTTACACCCTTGTAAGTATCACGCAATCACCTTTTCAAATCGTATTTTCTATTATCATCAATAGATCAATTTTACCACCAGGGTGCCCTCCCACTCTCCCACCCCCCAAAAGGTACTGGCAGTTGACTATTTTCAATAAATTTTACTTCAATATCCATTCTCACCAGAACCTTAAACAACATTATTCATTTATTTTACAAAACTACTTAAAAATTGCCTTCACCTGAAAAATTTTTCTTTGCATTTTCCTGTAAATGAAAATGTTTGTTAAAAATGCATCTATTAAAAGTCCACACAGCACTAAAAAAAAGTTTTCTGTACATTTGTTCCCATATTCACTCTTAAATTAAACAAATAAAATAAGGTAAGACGAAGGAAGGTTGAATACTGTACAGGCTCGCAGCTAACATTTTTCATTATTCTGAATGTTTCACTAAGTTTGGTAACTCTGATACTGGACACCACTTCAATCTTGCTTCCACAGTACAAAAGAAGCTTTCAAAAAAATGCTCACCTTGTCTTGTTGAGCTGTCCAGGTGCATCAATGAAGCATTCACATAACTAACATACGTAATTCATAGCACCAAGCCATTTGACCAGTCAGATAGGTTTCTAGTACCACACATGCACACACACTTCTTTACTGGTGTAACTATGATCCTACAGAGATGTTTTATAAATATGCTGTCTCGACATTAAAAAATAAATGCATCAAGTTTCTTTGTACATTCAAGTCACTTTCTAAGGCAATTGTCTACTGTATGTACTCCCAACTGCTTTGGTATTTTGCTTCAGTTAATCAACAGTGGACATGGGTGTTCAAGCATGTGGACTGGTCATTTCTGGCTGGAGTGAGTGGACTTTCACTGGGAGCATGCCTTAGACCAACAATTCTGCATGTTGAAAGGTTGCAGACTTCTGGATGGGGTGCAGACTAAGTGCATATTTGGCCTATGATTGTTATGGTATGTCAGTATGCAGAGCTCAAATCAAAGTGGAAAACTGCTGATGAGCATTTAGGTTGTACAACCCTTCCTAGCCACATTCTGTTTCTTTTTATTTTACAGCCAACTTAATTCTATAAAAAAAAGGATCCCCTTTGCGATAGCTCAGATTGATACAAATTTAAAGCTTTATTTTCAAGTGAGAGCATAAGCAGAATTCAGTAAGCAATACATCAATTGCCGTGAGACTAATGCAGGTCTAATTATTTATTACTTTCTCCTCCTACTCCTCTCTCTCTTTCTCTCTCTTTGTGTTTCTTTAGAGGGCAAATGCCTCTACCTGGCAGAAGTCAGTTGGGGTTGCTAGTGCATGGTTTCCAAACGTTCAGTGGAGTTGAAACTGGATCTGTATTTTCACAGTAATTTGAACCCTACTATGGGAATACTATTGTTTCCCTTAGCAATCAGCAAAGACTGAAAAATATTAGTGACTTGCATCACCATGACACAGTATAGCATTTGGCAGGTATGTAGTTCAGCAGTTGAAATAGATGGGTTGAATTTTTAGAAAAGGTGTTTTCGAACTGAAGAATTTCTGGAAACAAAGTTGAATCTTGTGGTACATGGTCTCATTCTTACAGTTCAATCTTGCATGCGGGAAAAGATTCATCTTGCATAACAACAGTGCTGCTGCTTGCCAAAACCATGATGTTGAGGTCCTGCTGTTTCTCATGGGTCTCTTGGTACCATTCCCTCATCACTTCTGAGTCATGGGTTGGGATTAAGGTCACCTGCAACACAAAACAGGAATGGACAACAGAAACAGGTGGTAAGAAAAATATCCTTGTAAGAAGCCCTTGCAACAAGTATGTTTCCTTTTTGGAAGGAATAAATACTTGAATAAATGGGTGGATAAAAGGAAATAAATAAACATGTAGGTAAGGTAAAATTTCTGCAAAGAGGTAGTTTATAAAAATAAAACCTTGGTTTTGTAAGGTGTTGAGATGCAGCTTTCCAGAGAAGTAGCAGTCTGTAGTCTGCACTGATAGCTCTTCAGATTATGGCCAAATATTTTGTTTACTTATTGATCATGATGAAAAGGCACATGAAGTTTCCAAGTGTACATGATTACATATAAACCATGAAACATTCACTTTTCTCTCCTACTTACAAACTGCAACGTTTCCAAACTTGGACCATCTATGGTGTAGTAACAAGATGAAACAGCCAAATGACACTGTAAACGAGCTCTCAGCTGGAGGGGGGAACAGGTCAGAAGGGCCAGAAATGGGGGACCACCTGAGTGCGATGCAGCTCTGTGCTTCACTCAAGTGTTCTCTCACATCACCAGTGAAACGAGGCCCCCAGCCTGGGGACCCCATAGCCCAGCAGCCACCATCCACTCCAGAGGCCCTCTGGCTTCCCGTAGTCGCTTCCCAGAGAAGATTAAATTTCCAGGCAAAGGTACTAGTGAAGAGCCTACCTGCATGTTAGTCTCCCATTGCGCCTTGCCCTCCAGCAGGGAGTCCAAAACAGCCCTGCTTGGCTCATCGGCTGCAGAATCGTTCCCACTCACAACATAGTAGGATGACCGCACTCTCTTGAAAAACTCAACATCAACGTTCTTGCTGTTGCTGTGGTTGGGAATGTACACCAAATCCAAATACACTGGAGGTCCTGGAGGCACTGCTGTGGATTTTACCGCCTTAGTATTCCCAGGTCCTTTGGAAATCAAACAACAAAAGAATATATCACAGGTGGGTTAAAATCTTCCATTAGTTAATTACTGTTATAACCGCTGAGGTGAGATGTGTCCAATTACGGCATTACCCTCCTACATCTAATGACATGTTCCAGCTTTGTTGTATCCCAATTGCAATTGTAATGGGAGGAAAAACCTGAATCACTGTAACTACATAATACAGTAGAACCTTACTACCACATAACCAAAAATTCACTGAACCCTTCCCAGTAATATACTACTATTATGCAACAATTACTATGCAGGGCTGCAATTATCGCATTACCATTCAATAAATGGTGGTATTATTTTCTGGTTTAAGAAGTATACCTTTTTGAAAGTCTCAGGTACACACCTATAAAACCTAGGGTCACACAGGGAGCCATGCAGATTTGGAGCAGTCCTGAGATTTGGGGTATCAGCACATAGCAAGACATGGTAGCTGTTGATATGCTGGGTGCCTTACAGGTGCATCAGGAAGATACTACACCTGAGCAGAAATAGGGGCAAAGAGGAACTTGGGAGGACAGAGAAAATTGTAAAGCAATTACTTCAGGGAACTGAGAATAAGTGTTTGTTTGCTTGCTGGATCGTTATTTGCATATACAAATAAGCCACTTATCATAAAAAGTAGGATGCAGCATGTTTTTGCTGCTGTACATAATATAGTACTTCTTCTGAGAAGAGCTTCAGTCAAAAGGAAGTTCAAAGTTTAAAAATACTACCCAAAAAAGGAGCCTTTGCTATGCACTGGATCATAATGTGAACTGAAAATTAGGATTCAACCAGTAATTTAATCCAGATGATCACCATTTATGTTCTAGCAGCCTTCTCATGTTGTTACAAAGAATGACGTTTAGTAAACAATTATCTGAGCAATACACTCTATTTAGGGTCACATACTGTAAGGCCAGGAAAGCCCATTACAGTTCTCTAGCATGTCCTGCCATTCATCAGAGGGCAATATGCCAAATCAGCATCATGATATGATAAGATTTCCTGAATTAGAGAGTTTTTACTATTGATTATGTTACAAAATCTTTTTTCATCATTTATCATAAAAAAATCTGTGATACACCTTTCTGAACTGTGGATACCAACATTGGATAGAATATTAGACATTACATTTTACACTTAGATATTATTATCAAATACAGCCTTGTCTTCTGCTCTAGCGTATACCTGAGAAGTATGCTACAAGGAAGAACATCATATAGAGCTAAAGTGCTGGAGAAACATAAAGCATGAGGAACTACACTGCTGCTTTGAAATGCATCTACTAACAAAGACATGCAAACAATGGTGTGAGAAAGGAACACTGGACCACTTCAAACGGGGAAGCTAAAGACAGTTGAATGCTGATTTGTTTGTACCAAATCATAGGCCTGCTTCTTGTAAAAAAGCTTTCAACAGAACATCAGTCCTGACAACAGCAAAATCAAACTATCCCCCAAACAGTTTCTAACAAGATCTGCTGGAAAAAACAGATTAGCACAATGCCTCCCCAGTAATCTAATTCATATTTTATTACTACTTAGAATACACAACAGTCATCCAAAATGACATTAACTTTCTGTGTGCTTAGTCATCACTGATGGCATAAGACTTTAACCGGATTATGTGATGTACCTGCTTAGTTCACAGAAAGAGCTCTTAGTACTGTTGCAATTTTTTTAAATAGTCCTTTTATAATTAATCCAGCAAAGTAGTAAGAGCATCCAATGGTTGATAGTACCTTTGACTCTCACAGTGTTAAATTGCAGTAATTTATGTTAAAAGAATTGTGCCTACTTGTTTCGTACAATGAATAAAGTGGTTCGCTTTGCTACTGATTTCACTTCACCTACAAAAGTGGTACTTTTAATTCTATTAGTTGGTTAACAGCTTAGACAGCTAGTATTAAGTCCTTTATATTTTATGTACTCTCTGAGCAAACTGACACATCAGGTTTCTCAGATTACAAAAACTAATTTCATACACTTAAATACAGGCTTTTCAAGCTGGATTTATATTTAAAACCTGGACTTTCTTCGGGAATTTGCCACAAACCACATTCTCAGCTGATATAAAGGCAACCTGACTTCACTAAAACAGGAAAATCTTAACACTGGGGAACTGCTATCTGCCTTTACCTGTAGTTGCAGTCTTTGCTGACTTGGATGTTGTTGTATTTGCTGCATTCTTGGTGTCCTTATCTTTCTCTTCTACTCGAGACTTTACTTCTGGAGAAGATATATTTTTCGTTAACTTCTCCACAGACTCCTTCTTTTTCAGAGAAGCTGACTTGGAAATTTTGTCTAAAGACTCTTTTATGGCTGGCTTTGGTGAAGCCACTTGTTTTGATTTACCATCACTTTTTTTAACAGGAGAAGACGACTTGGTCTTAGTACCCTGCTTTTTTGTCTTTGTCTTTTCTTTGAGATCCTTCTTCAAAGGTTTACCCAAATTCTGATCAACAGGAAGAGCCTCTGGATCAACCATGGAAACATCAGGGTGCCTAGGGGAAGGGCTGTGATCCTGCATGGGGACAGGTGGCGGGTCAATGTGTTTGTATGTAATTGTCTTGTCTGTCGGAATGGTTTCTGATTCATCTTCCGAGTCAATGTTAGCATCTGCAGTGATGGAAGGACATTCCTCAGTCTCAGGGGGAACGTCTGAATCAGTCTGAGATGGGGCAGACTCACTCACGGATGTGGGAGGAGTTTCATCACACTGCCGCCCTTGCTGCTTTCCCCCAGAAGGTGGCTGGGCTCCCCCGGATTGAGTTAATAGCTTCTCTTGATCTTGGGACTGTTCTTCATTTGCAAACCACTCAAGGGGGTTTGGGTTGATAAATGAAGGTGAAAGTTCAGTTTTGGGATGTTTATATTCACAAGAGGACACAAGGCATAAGTCAACATCTTGACGGGATTCTGCTAACGATTTTCCTGGAGTAAAATAAGCGCTTGCTTCATAGGAATAGCTAGTGGCTTCAGGTGACCTGGAGGCTCTCCCAGTTGTCTCAAATGAGTAATCTGTGGCTTCGGGTGAACCGGAGGGTTTCCCAGTTGTCTCATAGGAGTAAGCCATGGCATCTGGTGACCTGGTGGTTCTCCCAGTTGTCTCATAGGAGTAGCTAATGCTTTCTGGTGACTTAGTGGTTTTCCCTGTTGTCTCATAGGAGTAATCCATAGTATCAGGAGATCTCGTAGCTTTTGCAATTCTCTCATAGGAATAATCTGAGGTGTCAGGTGATTTGGTGGTTTTCCCAATTATCTCATAGGAATAATCTGTGGCCTCAGGTGATTTTGTGGCTTTCCCTGTTGTCTCATAGGAATAATCTGTGGCCCTTGGTGACTTAGTGGTTTTCCCAGTTGTCTCATAGCAATAATCTGTGGCCCCTGGTGACCTAGTGGTTTTCCCTGTCATATCATAAGAATAATCGGTGGCCTCAGATGACCTCATATTTTTTGCAATCATCTCATAGGAGTAATCTGTGGCCTCAGGTGACCTAGTTGTTTTTCCAATTGTCTCATAGGAATAATCCGTGGTCTGAAGTGATCTAGCAGATTTTCCAGCTGCCTCATAGGAGTAGCTAATATCCTCTGGTGACCTAGTAGTTTTCTCTGTGGCCTCATAGGAATAACTAAGTTCTTCTGGTGACCTGCTGCTTTTCTCCGAATCTTCTTTTTCTGGGCTGAGTAAAGGTTCTGGACTGTGCTTTGTTAGGGGATCCTGGTAACCAAATGCTTTGACAGAGGACACTTGCAGTGACAATGAAGGTGCATGACTAGCTGACACGGCTTCTGTGATTGCAGAAGGTGAATCTGGAAAACTAGGAGAGTACAGAGGGGAAGATTCCCTTGGAGTTAATGGAGATAGGTCAGACTTCGGTGACAGCTTTTCTCCTAGGCTCTGAACCTTTTCTGAGGTAAAAGAAGAATGTAGTGACATATCTCTGGGTGGAACAGCACCTGAAAAAGTTTCCTCTGGCAGTGGTGAAGTGACCTGGGAAGGTGTATGAGCTGATGAAGTTGAGGATGAAGCTTCAATTTGAGAAACTGAAATAATTTCTGAAATATCTTTCTCCTGAGAGTATGATGACTGCTCCACAGGGGAAATCTTCCGTGCAAAAGTAGGCTCCTGTATATCTGAAGGGCTATAATCTACTTCTGTAGGTCCATTTTCTGATATATGGTGTGTACTAGTGCCTACAGTAGGATATTCTGGAGACTGCCTACTAAAGTCCATTGCTAAAGACTGCTCAGGGGACTCCTGACCAAATTCTACAGACATAGTTGACTGCTCAGGAGATCTGTGATCATGCACCAGCATTCTTGATTTTGCAGTTTTAGGTGAGAAGTCTGGTGGAGAAATTGACATGGGTCTTGGGCACTCTTCCTTAGATGGAGACATTTCTGTTTCCTGAAAAGTTGTTGGTGTTTGTACAACTGACACTGAAAGGGAATCATCAACTTCGGTAGAGTGGGGAGATCCAACCTCAGCATGCAAAGAAGGAGACACATCATCGGTAGTTGGTTCTGGAAATGAACTAGTAGCAACAGATGCTGTAGAGACAGAAGCTACTCCTTCTATATGGGAATAGGTGTCTTCTGCTATAACTTCATCAACAGGAGTTGCAGACTTGTCAGAAACAGTGCCTTCAGAAATAGACATTTTGGTATCTTCTTTTAAAGAGCCGAACTGACTGATATCTATTTGAGTAGGTGAGAGATCACCTGCTAACTTCCGCTCATCCAAGGCCAGTGAAGACTGGGAGCTGCTGGGTTCTGTATCTTCCATTTTCCTTTCTAGGCTGAAGCCTTCCTTAATTACCATAAACTCCATGCTTTTTTCTTCTTGTTTTTCTTGGAAAAGGCCCACAGTGCTGGCTTCAGAAGCTGGGCTCATTTGAACAACTGATTTTTCTTTTTCAGGTTTCCCCCCCAAAGCACTTATGTAATCTCTGGTGGGAGACTTTAAATCAGCACTCAAAAATGTATCATAAGTGGTTTCTGAACCTATCAGTGGTGGACTGCGTAGGGGCGAGAGAACCTTTTCAATAGGATATTCTGAATCTGGCACAGGCTCATCCATAGGGCTTATTCTGGGTTTTGCAGACTCATCTTTGACTTCACTGAATTCAAAGCTAACAGGAGCATCTGTTGACTTTTCACTGGTTTCAGAGGGAAGCTGACTGGACTTTTCATCAGTGGGAGACTGATAATAAGGTGTGTGGCCAGCACTACCAGCAGCAGACTGTGAGGGAGATGCTACTTCTAATGTTTTATCTTCAGGGCTTGCACAGTGCTCTTCAGCAACTTCTTGATGTACATCAGGCAATGTAGCAATGATGACAGGCTCAGCTGAGACCTTGATCTCATTGGGAGTGAGCGAAAAATTCACACTACGTTCACTCAGTGGTGTTTTGGCAACAGGTGATGGAGGGGACAAACTGTCAGCTGGACTCTTGGTTGGACTACATTTTCCACCAAGATCTTCTTGATGAGGTTCCTTGATTTCTAATTTAGCAGTGCCTTGGATTTCACTTTCTTTTTGCCGGTATACATCTTGGAACGCAGATTTGCAGAATTTGTCTTCCTCTAATGAAGAAGGAGGTGAGATGGTGGAAGCTGAGGCATTATAGTCTTTACCTTCTGTGGCCTCTGTTTTGGATCCTTCAGATAATCCATTAAAAGCATCTGGAAGTGGAGAAAGTTTAGGTCTGCCAAACTCTTGAGAGTACAGTGATGTCTCATACTTGGTAATGTTCACATACTCTTGAGAGGGTGACTCACTTTCCTCATTGTTAGTTTCATCACTCATGACATCCCGGGGTGTTGACATTTCATCCATTGGGGTTGGTTCACTGGATATTTCAATGGTAGACTGGGTATAACCCGAAGTAGCAGTGAATTCTTCAGGTTGATCTTCTCTATTTTCTTCATCAGAAACAGTGGCTTCACTTTCTGAACCACCAGGTAATGTCTCATCATGGATAGAAGAGGCTGGCTCAACTGCTGGAGACTGAGGCTCTGAGCGTTTTGTTGGTGTAATTATGAGCAGGCCATATTTATCTTCAACTTCACCAGCTTCTGCAGCTTTGTCTACAACAGCCATCACATAATCTTCTTCAGCTTCTATTTTTTCAGTTTCCTCTTCATCTCTGATGTCTTCTGCTTTGTCTTCCTCCTCTTCTTCAGTCTCTTCAGTTTCTGCTTTTTCTATTGCTTCTTCCCTGTCTTCCTCAGCCCGTTCATCTGATGCCTCATAATCTGCCTTTTCAATATATTTTTCATCTTTAATGTTAGCATCTGCTTCAGCCATCATATCTTCTGAACTTTCTTCAATTTTCCTTGCTTCCTCCATATACATTTTTGTGTTGTCCAGTGGTGTCTTTTCTTCTTCATCTTCACCTCGTTCTTCAGCTTCTTCTGTTTCTGCCTTTTCCTCATAATCTCCTGCTTCAGATGATTCTTCTAAGCCAGTTCCCTCATCTTCAAACTTTTCATTGTCGTCAACCCTGTGCTTTTCCACAGGTTCCAATTCTTCAGGTGTCTGTTCACACTCACCCTCAGCCTCTGTGGTAGTTATGCCTTCATCGGAGGACTCGGCAGGTCCTTCATTATCTAATTTTTCTTTTTGTCCTTCGAAGGCCTCTTTTTGTACTGTGCCAGTGAGTTTCAGTTCATCTTCTATAAGTGCAACTTGAGGTTTTGTTTCTTTTATTGTTTCTACTTCTTCAGCTTTTAATTCCTCAAAATCCTTTGTTAAATCCTCTGGTGAAGACATAAGGGATCTCTCACTCCAACGGCTGCAAGGGCAGCTTGTGCTCCACTGACCTTGATCTCCTTCTTCACCGTCTTAACTTTTCCTTTTTCCTTTGGCTTTCCAGCAGGTACTGCTTCTTTTTTAGCAGGTTCCTCCTTCTTTTGTGGTTTAGGCTTTGCTGCTGGCTTTTTGGCTTCAGTCGAAGGAGTAGCTGTCTTCTTTGTTTCTTTAGGAACCTTTTTGATGTCCTTTTTGGCTTCTTTTTCTTCCTTCTTAATTTCCTTCTTCTCTTCTTTTTTAGCTTCTTTTTTAGCTTCCTTTGGTGAAGCTTCTTTCTTTAGTTCCTTCTTTGCTTCCTTCTTCTCTTCCTTTTTCACCTCTTTTTTAACTTCTTTCTTGATCTCTTCTTTTTTGGGTTTTTCTTCTTTTTTGATGGGTGTTTTCTCCTCTTTTTTAGAAACCTCTTTCTTTGGTTTTTCTTTTTCCTCTTTCTTTTCCTCAGGTTTTGCTTTTACTTCCTTTTTCACTGGCTTCTCCTTTGACACTTTTGGTTTTACATCTGTACTTTGTTTTTCAGGGGTTTCAGATTTTAGTAATTGCTCTTCTTTACTTGTTATGTCTTTTTCTGCCACTACAGGTTTGGTCTCCACTTTTGCTGTTTTCTCTTTTTTAACTGGAGCTTTTTCTTTGCTTTCCAACTTCTGAGGCTTTTCCAGTGCTGGACTAGGCTTCACAGGCTCCGGTGTTTCTTCTTTAGATTCTTTTCTGACAGGCTTGCTTGGTGGTGTCTTTGCAGCAGGCTTGAGACTCTCCTTACTGTCTGTTCGTTGTTTTAACTTTGCTTGTTTCACAGCCGGACTAGCAATGTTCCCAGTTAGGTCTTTTTGTGTAACCATTGGTTGTTTAAGGAAGTCTAAGTGTTTGAGTTTTTCTAGTCCTTCTAGAATATTATATTGGGTGCTATTTCCAGGAAACAGAACCCGGATTATTTTTTCTGCGGGGTTAGCTGGATGCCACACAATCAGGGATGAGACAGAGGTGAAGTAAGATAATGGAATGTCTAGTTCTTGGCCATTTGATAGCAGGAATTCAACTTTATCTTTGTTGCTGCCACTCCACTGCTGCATAAAATATTGCATCTCTTTGCTATTTTTGACAGGATTGAGCACATACATCTCAAGTTTGCCAACTCCCATTTTCTGAAATAAAATGATGGGGTCAATGGTATTTCCCACATTTCTGAAAAGAGGTTCTGGTTTCATAGACAGTTTATTTAAATACTGGAGAGTAAAACAAGCTTCTTCTACACTCCTTTTTACCCTAAAGCTAGGATCCAGGTTCTTCAGGTTCTCAGGTACATTAAGGAATACAACTCCTAAATCAGGTGAGATCAGATTTTTCATCCAGTCACTGTTGGTAGTAGACCCTTGAGACTGTTCCTCTTCTAGTTCAGCTATTTTTCGCTGAAGCATGCTATTGATTCCTGGCAGGTTATCGTCTCCGATGTGAGTGAGTAGAATGGAATCTACCCTGTCCAAGTGCCGGATAAGTTTCCAAAAGCAAGATTTTCTTTCGGATCCTCCATTGATAAGCATGTTGAATCCATTCACTGCAAATAATGCAGAGTCCCCTCTTCCACCTGGGAAAATATAACAGCAGGGTTTGGAGAGTTTCAAGAAACCTCCTGAAGTTGGAGGTTCCAAAATGTCGAAGGGTGATGGCACTTCCACTGATTCTGACAGATACTCTGTGAATTCAGAGAGTCCTTCCATTTTGGGCAATATGGAAGCTGAGTTGAGTTTAATGTTAATAAAGTCTTGAAGGTTGTGTTTGTCAAGGTTGGAATTTTTCCAGTCTCCTTCCTCAGGGCAGAAAAGAGTTAAGCTGGCTTTGTTGGCAGGGTGTGTGGTGCTCAATAATTCACCAATCTAGGGTTGTAAAGCAAAAACACAAGAAGATGCACGTAAATTCATTTTTTAATGACAAATAATGTCAGAACATAATATTTCCTGATCAGACAGATAAAAACTTTTTTATTCACTCCTGCACTGGTGAGTACCTGTCCTAGAAGCTAAAGGAACCTGTTATCACAATTAGTTTACTACTGTATTTTTTTAATCACAAAGAAGGACATTATTCCTTGTCCCTATTGCCCAGAGGATGACAGCACCTCAAGGTTCCCCCTTCCCGCCTCCACCTTTTAGAGGAGGATGGTACAAGCTTTTATATTGAGAGGGTATGAGGACCATGCGGGTAACGCTGCCAGAGCTGCCACTATATCTACCATTGTCTCATGAGTCTCCCTGCTGCTCCAGTCCATCCAGAAGAGCCAGCCAAATATCTAAGGGACCAAGCACATTCTCTTTAACAGGCAGAGAGTAACTGCAATCCAGAGGAGGTCAGCATCCTCCCAAGGGCAGTCACCTTCCTCACCCCTTCTCTGATAGGATATATTCCACCATACCACCATTATTGCTGTTCTTTCTGCAGGCTGGCTCCTGAAAAGCCAGCACCGCTCCCAGATTAGCATGGCTGACTGTAGCAGAGTTTTCAGAACACTAAGAAATGAGTTATTGCTTCAGAAATGCAAACAGATACAAGTTTTGTATTTCTGAGATTATGAGGTACAGGGCTAAAGAAAGAGGCAGGAAAAAAGTGTTAGGGTTAAAAATGCTCGTCATTATTTTGATTTTAAACTCATGAACCACAAAAGTTGAAATTTAGAATAACTCCATTCATTTTGACAGTATTTGATAACATGCTAGTACCAAAACCAGCTGCTGAAATAAAGGCACAGAAAACAAGTTGTTCTATGTCATTGTATGAAGAACTGTTGTTCTGTTCCAGTCTGAACTAAAAAATAGTCTTTCATGGTCCGAGATTCATAGACAAACTAACATGAAACTGTATGACATATTTTACACATTCTCCCAGTTCCACAGATACTTTCACTCGATTTTTTTTTGTTTTTACTGACAATTAAGTTAAATGTAACCCATTTCTGTTGTACTTGCTCTAAACAAAGAGACCACCAAATTATGTAAACAACTTCTTTAAAGAAGTAATTCAGACATAAAATGTCAGTGCAAAATATGCCAGCACAGCATCATGCAAAATACCACAACCTTCTTTGCAGAGACTCAATTATCAGTTCAAGCTGTAAGAACGGTTTTCATAAAGATGATATAGATTACGCTACAGCTGAATAATTTGAAAGTCTTGGACCACAAGCTGAATCAGCAGAAGAAATGAATATATAAGAAATTAATGATGTTTGATTGCAGTAGATCTCTTTGGGCCTCTGTGTGTGTATGTCTCACTTCCTTTCTTTGTGTTGCATAATTTATTTTCAGCATTTACCAAAAATAAAACTCAACAAAGATGCAGTTGCTGTTATCCAAACAAAAATAGTCCAACCAATACCTAAATAAAGCAGAAAATAAATGTTTTCTATCCTCCTTTTTCGGCCTTACTTAGTATCCACACCATTTCACAGGAGTATAAATAAATCTCACCTATATGTCAGACATGGCTTTGTCTGAAAAGGAGCAAAGAAAAAAACAAAGCAAAACAAAATAAAAAGAGAAAAGGATGAAAATGATAAAAGATAAAGAAAATAGGAGAAACATTCCTGTTTTGTATGGCAGAAATAAGAAGAGAAGGGCAGCACAGACCGCAGCTCTGAGATGGATTTAGTATCTCAAGCATACTCCTTATGCTGTGTCTCTGGTCAGGGTTCAAAATACATTATAAGGGAGAAACAAAAGTAATAAAAGATGACTTCCTCTGCATGAATAAATCAAGTCTGTTGCACACATAAGGAGATAAATTGAGTACAGACTGTTTCTCATGTAGGGACAATTTTCTGGCTAGATGAAACAATCAGATGGCAATACACTGGGCTAATAAATATATACTAGGCCAAGGTTTGGGGTTAGTCCTTTCCAGTTTATATTATATCATATTTGGGTTTCTGCTTCAAATTCTGACTTTCTTTGCTCCTAAATGTTGGCACGCATAATGCAGACAGTGTTAAGCCACCGGTAGCACAGGCCAATGAAAAGCTGGAGAACACTTATTCCGACATATATCATATCTGTTAGGAATAATAGCAAGTTCAGAAATGCCCCAGAAAAGGCCTCAATGGATTTGCATTTCAAATGGTGACATCAAGGATATCAACAGTTCCACTGCTTACGCTATTTGATAACACAGAGATGTAACTGCTTCTTCTCTTCTCTGGATCCAAAGTCACTCTGGGAGAAAACAAATGTATCTGTGAACCTGATCATCTTTTCAAGCACTGAGAGATATCTGTTGAGGAACTCTCAAGTTTTAAACTTGTCACAGCTTGTGAAGGCAAACAGCAAGTTGGCTGCTCAGAGAGGACACAAGATTGTTTGCTATTCTGGACCACAAAGGTAAAAAGAAAGTTTTTCCTCTGATAGCTGTTGTTGCAGAGACACTGGAATGGGACATCTTCTATATTCTGGCACAGGAGAGGTTGAATACACCACTTTTAGGCATTGCCTGCAGGGAGTTCTGCAGGCTACAGATGCATTTCTAGATTAGGCTTCCTAAGAGTATCCCCCTGCCCCCTCAAAGGGTATTTACTTATTTGTAAGCACATCCCATGACCACAGGTTTGGTACAGTGAAGTAAAAAAGCGCAGAGACCAGAAACACCGCCTGTACACAGTACTCATCAAGCCTTACATGCTGACGGAATCACAGAATCACTTAGGTTGGAAAAGATCCTTACGATCATTGAGTCCAACCATAAACCTAACACTGCCAAGTCCACCAGGGTCAGGACAGCACAGGAATTCTTTCTTCTGATCACAGGAATTCTTTCTTCTCATCACCACTTAGAAAAGCACTAACCACTTTTTTCCTAGCCCTTTTTTCTAACCTTTTTTCCAACTTGTAGACCACCTAAAGATTTCCCGGAAATGGGACCCCTTAAAAAACGTCTCATGCACAGACTGCAGTATGGCAAATGTGATCTTCCTTTGCTTTTGTGAAATCTTGTAGAAGCAGTGAAAGCCTGAGGCTTCAGAAACAAGACGCTGGAAGCCAACACTTTCAAAGCACCGTGCCGGCTGGCTGTTGAGTTTGCTGCCAGCCGCAGGGACGAGCCAAGTCAGCCTTACTCATAGCCCACGGGAGTACGCCCTACACGCCCACCACTGCTGCAATGCCTCGGCGGCTGTAACTCATGGCCAACCACCACCCCTCTGCTTTCCAGCCAACGATTTCGCTTCCTAACAGTAACAGTAGGATTTGCCCCTGGTTTCGCATGTAGTCATAAAGTAATTATGTGTCGCTAATTAGCCAGAAATGCAAGGAGCTCGGGTTTGCAATTTCATAAAAAAGTAACTCTGTGAACTGCGAGTGAGTTTTAGGCATCACGTATGTTTCAGAGAGCAGGAATCCAGCTCTTTCCCCAACCTTACAACCACAGGCTGAACAAAGAGGCTTTGAGAATAGGATCAAATGAATACAATAAGGTCATGCCAGACCTCACGCAAACTTTGCCTTTTCAGTGCTGAACTTTCAAATCTCAGTCCACTGACATGCTCCTAATTAATTTTGGAAGCTCAACTCCTAGGGATGCAGCCGTATAGTTTATTTAAATATATACTTTACACAGCAGCCAAATTAAGTGTGACAACTTGTTTACTATGGGTTCCTGCCCTATGGGAGCTTTCAGACACAGTACATTAAGCAAGACAGCAAAATAACAAGTCACGAAACAAAAGGCATTAAATACTAGTATACGTCATACTTATCTTTTTGGTATGCAGAAATCATAGATTTTACAGATTACACTGGCCAAATTGTAAACTCTACTATAAAGAAGCCAAGCAAGGAGGTGGTGCAAAAAACTACAGCTATTCCAGCAGACAGCCTCTGTCTTATTTAATGTCACTTATTACTTAGCTGATACCAGGCAAGAACCTGGTGTCAAGATCAATTTCACTGTTTTGTATGTGCACCTTAGATAAACAACCTGTATATTTTAAACACGACAGTATCTCCTTCCATTGTCAAAAGCTTCCTTGATTTTCTGTTTCTGGAATTTACAATTTAATTCCCCAAATTAAAACATAATTCTTTTGTTAAGCAATTTACATCAGATCTAAAGTAAATTAAATAAATGTTCTGACAGAAAGCCTATAATGAAGAGTAAAGAGCATAAGCATCAGGCTACTGATGCTAACTCTAACAACATAGAGGGACATTTTTAGTCCTCTAGAAAGCTCTGCCATCACATGACAATGTATGGAAGACAGTTTTCTGAACAAACCTCTTGATCCGTGAAGATCTCAATGAAGTTCTGGAAGGAGAAGGACCCTGACTGAAGAATGAGTTCTCCTGTGTTTTCAAAGCACTGTCCAGTTAGTACAAGGAGCTTGTGTCTTGCAGCATCTGTGATCATCAAGCGTACCTAAAGTGAAGGAGAGGAAAACATCAATAATGGGAGTTACCATGTGTTTCTAAATTCTGCTGAGAATGTACGGGTTATCTCTTTTAATGTAAAACATATTTTGCACCAGAGTCTCCCAGGACTGTGGAAACATTACCAAGTTATAGCGCTGTTTACAGAAGACAATGAGAAAGGTGCAAAAGGGAAAAAAGGATGGAGAAGAAGCAAGAAGAGAGGTCTGATGAATAAGTCAAACTAATGACATGGAAAAAAGACCAAGGAGCAGAACAGAATAAAATTTGAATGAAAAAATAGTATTTTCAGTGAACGAGCATATACATTGTATAACTCTTGGTGAATTTTAATAGCACTGTATCAGGACAATCTTGATGAGCTGTGTCCCATGTGCTAATGAGGGACAACTGCACGTGCCAGACTGTTTTTGGAAGGCTGCTCTTCTTTTCCCAGGGTACGGCACTACTTGCCATTCACTTGCAAAAACGTCACTGAAAAGTAGCCGTCACAAATCACATATAAAAGTGTCATATTTAGATTGTCATTCCATTGTAACCTGAATCATCTAGAAACTTAAGAGATGATTCTGCTTCACCATAATCATAAAATTCAACTCCAAGCACTCAGTTACAGTCACATGCACCATTCAAATCTCATGAGGTCACTAACTATGGACACTGTAAGTTTCTACTGTGTGAGAGCCCAACACCTTTTTCAATATACAGTAGTAAATTAAGTGGATGCTGGATAGCATAAATGAGCTTGCTACTGAGAAATAACCTTCTTCTGCATTTTGAAATAACTCTTAACTACTTTAAAGTAGAAGCTTGTTACTTTACTTGACCCTCACTAGAGCCACTAATAATTGCTGTTTCTCTCCCCAGGGGGAGATTTACTTGCATGCTAAGAGAAATCCATATATTCAGTATACCTCTGTTGGCTGGATTCAACTTAAATTTAAGAACAAAACTAAACAAAACCTTTGTAAGATTCTGTACTGTTGAGTAATTTTTTTGCAAATACTTCAAAAGTTTGTCCAACACGAAAAAATCCATTCAGCCTAAGGTAAGGTATGAATTTCAAGTGTGCTAATTCCTCTGTTTAAGGAGGAATTAAGTTAAACCAGCATAGTGATTCCAGAACAAGGCTATCCATGTATTAAACTAAATGAGCAGAGTCCGTCTGGAACAACTCCACATGACATTGCATCCAAGCTCCATCTCCATGGAGATGACATAATCACCTCAGCTCTCCTAGCAAGCTATTCCTTCAATTTTTTATATTGATGGTTAAGCAATCAGTTGTTCTAAATAACTCCTGCTCACGCCAAGGAGGCCGAGCCCGGAAGGCTCGACCTGAATCTCTTCTGAACAACTTGCGTTTTCAGTGCAAGTAGAAAAGAAGTAGTGAAGAGTATGCATGTGAAACAAGATCCCAACTCTACCACATTTTCATCGTTATTTTATTAAATAAGTGACCCTGATGCTGAGCTGCAGAAAGTTCTCTTAAATAAACACAGGGCTAATGACAGTCTGTCACCAATTGCACTAAATAGTTATAAATTCAGCAATATCCTTGCTGAATCAAGTGTCACTATTTCTATTTGAGACAAAAATATAGATAAGTGCAGCCGCTCTCTGATGTGTGTCGCTCAAATCTTGCCTGTTTTAGCTGTATTTGAGCTATAAAAGGACTGGCTTCCTCTTCTGTGTTTTCTCTCTTTCCTGGCAGCAGTGCTGGGCAGTCTCCCAACTTATGTGTAAACTCACCCAGTTTCACAACAGCAAAATTATTTCCTGACTTGTGAATCACTGATATGCGGGTGTCATATAATTTGCCTTCAACCTATTTTATTAATTGGTCATGAAATAGGTTCTGCAGAGCTAGCAAACTAGGGCAAGAAAAAAGTAAATAAATGCTTGCAGATTACAGAGCGTAATGTATGATACAGGTGAAAGACTTTAGAGAGACACATAAATTCTGTGTCTGGGTATAATCATGGCTTCCTGAAGGACTACCAATCTCCTGAATTCCAGACCGCTCCATTTCAGAAGAAATACTGCAAGGTGATGATTCTGTTCAGCTTTACCATTTGCTGAAGTCCCAAACTGCTTGAATGAAGCAAACAGCAAGATGTAGCCTCAGTCAAAATGGAGGCAAAGATGGAGTGTAAAGAGAGTCGGGAGCATCAACAGATCAGCAGTTTCCCAGACTTTCTGTGCAGTTGCAGAGTGTTAAAGCAACAGAGCGGGGTCTTCTTAAGAAGGAAGTAACCATTGATGGGGGTTTCAGAAACTTGTTTTCTTTGGGAAACTACAAGCCCTCTCCCTTTGGGGCTCTCTCTTTTGGGAGATACTTTGGCATTTGACAGAATGCGACAGGAGCTTTGGACAGAAACATGCTCGGACTACCACCAGCATGACTATTACCAGCCAGATTAGCAGGATTTTTTTTTTAATATAATTTTCCTTGGTTTTTCCTGAATGGATAGGTTCAAGTTCCTCTTCTGGTGAAGTAAGAACTCCATGCTGTATCACTGTCTCCCCAGATGTAACCGGGAAATCTCTTGGTATATGAAACTAAGTTTTCTATTTGCCATGATGAACCGAGCATGTCTATTCCAACCTCCAATTTAATTCTGCTGCCTCTTATTGTCTTTTTCTGGCTTGTGTCCAGTCAGAGTCTTACTTGGTCAGCCAAAGTAAATCTCAGCTTGTAACTTCTGGCTGTGACCAGTCTGGCAAGATGAAAGTGAAGAAAAGATTGCCTCCCTCAATCTAGTGAGAGGAAATTAACAGTGACCTAGCCAAACATCCTCCAGATCCAATGGAGTAAAGCCAGGGTTCAGAAGCCATTAATGGGCCTCAGACTGTGTTCTTCCATGTGATCATCCATCAAAGGTACGATAAGCAACAGTGAAAGAAACGGCATTTCCCTACCTTTGGCAGTTCCTTCGGCTCTCCCCGCCTCCACACGCATGCACTTTATAGATTTTTACTCTGAATGTGTGATTGTATCAAGAGCTGCTATCCAGCTGACCCCCTTGTTCCTAACCAAGTAGCTCCAATGCCCTGTAGGAGACTTTCAGCTATAGTTTTTTAGTGAATGACCTAAGGTGACTTAACTAAGTGAATTAACTAAGGTGACTTACTTATTTAAACTTTTACAATTTCAGGAATTTAATTTGTTTTGGAGTCCTTCCTCCTGTGTGTGTTTACTATGACTTATTTTTCACTAGGTACCAGAAGCAGAGCTGCTTCATTTCCCAACAGAAATGGTACTACGTCAATGCTTCCCAGCACTTGCTGCAATTATCCCTATTTTTTCAACCTTCAGTCTCACTAGCTAAATTTGTCAATTCTTTCTTGGAGCTACATGCTCAGTTCTTTGACTCTACTCTAGCAAGATCATAAGGAATTGGCAGTCCTCTTCTGGGGCACTCTCCAGAGTCTATTGATCATGTCATATGCTTTTTGAAGGACAGATAGATCAACCTGAAGTCACCACCATATAGCTGTTAATTCTTCTCAAAGACCTAAATTTGTCTCAGGGCACCTTCAGGCACTTTTTTTCATGTATAAAATAGGCATCCAGAGCTACCAAACAATGGAGAAGCAGAAGAAAAGCAGATGTAGTTTCACCACAGCTGTCTCTACTTCATCAAGAAGGGAATTTGGTGCGTTATGAGAAAAGGAGTGCTGGGATCAGAGGTATGTTTCCGTTGTATGCCTCTGATGTTTTGTCAGGAGTCTGGAAAACCAAGGCAAAAATCAAGGGATGGCTGATGTTTTTCATAATATTTTCTCCTAACCTGTCCTTTCATCCATGGTTAGGACCTGCTCTGAGTCTGCTAAGACTCTGAAAGACACTGTTGGGGTTTGTCAGTCACTAAACTGTAAGGCAGTAACTGATACTCAAGAATCATCTCAACTACATCACTTCACTGCTCTCATCCTGTCCACTTAATGGAGCTTTTATGACACATCCAGTGAAGTATTTTTGGCTTACCTCAGTACTAACTGCTTCATCTGAGGGATTGATCAGGACCACAGTTTCTAAGACATCACTTCTGTGGTGAAGAATCTTCTGACCTGCAAGCATGGAGAGAAAAAAAAAAAAAAAAAAAAAAAAATTAAATTCAACCAGCATGCTTATAAAAAGAAGTTCCCATTTTGCATGTCCCACTGTGCGACAGCTTTCTGGTCAGCCAGAGCATCACACACCTGCCACAGCAACTGCTGTACTGCTCATCTCTTCAGAAACAGCCATGGCATGTGGTCCTGTGGGCCAGAAATACTGCTCTGGAAAATTCCACATAATGAAAACAAACTGGCAACAGCACCAGGTCCTGTCCCTTCCCCCTGTCCAGAGGAGTCCCTGTAACTCACCTTGGTCTCACAGAACTGGTGCGGAACAGGGACTGGAGTAACTGTCACCAGCTGAGCGTCTGGCCCTTTATTTTCATGGAGATAACCACACCACAGATACAGCTGAGATTACACAGTCCTGTAACATGCCCAGGTGGTTTTACATTAGCTTTTCCAGGAACTATTAGTGGCTTAGCTGTACCACCAGGCAAGTCAGCTTGGGCTGCAAACTTCCCCTGCAAGAAGCAAAGTGAATACTCGGGCCATATGCCGCTGCTGCCCACCACGGCTAACGAGCACAATTTGTGAGACAAGCAAAGGAGTCCAGGGGTCTCCCCGCTGCCCACCACCACCAGAAGCACCACCTCACACCACACTCGTGTGCTCCATTGTCGCGCATTGGGGGAGCACTCTTGAGCCCGGCAGCACCCAGGTCCCTGGCTGCACCAGACAAACCAGGTGAAAGCTGGGACCCACCCTGCCAAAACTCCCCTTTTTGGCAACAACTCCCAATGCTGATCACCATTAGCCTTCTGCTAATGGTGATCAACATCGGGACACTGTGAGAAACTCCCTACAGGGACGGTCAGACACTTGCTGTGCTGCCCTGCTTCATCGTCCTCTGGCTTACAAAACCGTAGCAGGCAATGTTGGGCAACATGAGTGAACAGGCGTACAAATAACAGCGAGCTCCTGAATGAGTAATGTCTGGGCAAGTTTGGAGCAGCCCGGCAGCCCACTGGCTTTCGTACTTGGTAGTTAGTCTGTCTCTTTATTTAATAGTGATATTCATCTGACTGGGAGTGGGTGCCAGAAAAACACAACAGGACTCTTGACATTTTATTTTCTTTCTTATGTTAATTGGCAAGTTCTTATCAGGGTCTCTTTTTGTGAGAACTGCAGTGAGATTAATTAGCAGCCGTATTGTCATTCAGAAATCCAGACTGGTAATTAGTCCAAAAAACCAGAAGAGCTGTCTCTTCTGAGCAAACTGCTCAGCGCAGTTTTAATCAATTAAAATAATTAATTGTGCTTAAAAGGAAGTATGAGGAACACAGAACAAGTCACCTATTTGCCAATGGAGAAAAACCGCCCTGTAAAGAGAAGTAAAATAACGAGGCCGAGAATAGTCATGCTTGAAAGGAGCTCTGCGTTCCTGAGAGCCCCGGGCGGCCTGGGGGCAGCCTGGGGTGGTGGGCAGGCAGCCTTTCCCACAGCCCCCCTCGGGGCAGGAGGAGGTCTCCCCTCTGGGCAACCGGCCCTCCCTGCACCAGGGATGCCCTCCTCCTCCTCGCCCACCGAGCTCACAATGCACTGCATCTTCTGCTGCTGCTCTGGGGAAGCTCTGTATTCACAAGCCTAAGAGCTTACTACCAAATGATAGACAGTGAAGGAGCAGGGAGGGGAAAAAATAATGTTCTCAAGTAAAAATGTGAGATGGGGTTGCAGTTTATTCTCCTGTGCATGACAGTGCCTAGAGTCCTGTGGATAATAATCTAGTTTGTTTGAAGAAACCTAGTTTTCTTAACATGCATTCTTTTTGCTATACTTCTTGAAAGACAGGGACAGACTGTGTATTACGGAAGGGGAGGAGGTCTCCCTCTGCAGCATCCAGTTCTGGCATCACTGTTTGTAATTCAATTTATTTTTATAGCTCTGCTTCCTTGCCTAACAGGGATGCATGTATAAGGCTACATTCAATAAAACATCCAGATCGCTCTGTTACCGCAGACTCCTTCAGAAGATGCTCTGTGATCTGATATTTTAGTTAGTCTGCAGACTTCCCTCAAATGAAGAGATTAGGCAGATTTTATTGAATCTAGTTGTAATTGTTGGTAAGGAAACAAAAGACATTGTCACCCTTAAGCTTCCACAGAAATTTCTCACTTAATAGTTGGTGACACAGAGCACAAACTTTGCTTCAGGCCAGACTAAGCCTCATATACAATTAGACATTAACACATTAAGCACAGGTAGAAAAGATATGCAATTACCCACCTGCAAAGTTAGACAAAGATGCATAGTGCCCACCTGATTCAAAGCACTCTGGACTTCACTGGAGCTGCTCCAAGTCATTTGTCTGTGTAGCTGGGAGGGATTTGACCTGAGGAGCCACAACTCCCGCTGATCAGCAGCAGTGGTGGTTACTCACGCCCTATGCTCCCATGGACCAGACACCCAGCTCCTGTGGTTGCATGGTTTCATGCGACTTGAGACTGATTTCCAGAGGCAAGCGCAGAGGTCTGCACCATGTACACGGTGGCTGTTCAAGGCTGCATGCGTGACTGCCTCAGCATCAACACGTGTTACTGCTTATCATACAGGGTGGGGACCCAGCGCTGGCAGGGTGTATGTCACTACGAGGGCTGCCATCCCGTGTGAGAAGTTTTGAGGCTACTTGCTAATATCAGTAACATGTTCACATGTCGCTGCTTGAGAAATAATAAAAAAAAAAGTCTTTTTTTTTAAACTATTTACAGTTTTGTAAGAGCAACACAGGCTCGCTGCCCAGGTTGATGCTCTGGGATGCTCAGCTGGAAGGAATGAAAGTCTCCCACAGAACAGTTTTATCAAACAGAATCGAACTATCACAGTGTGGGAGCAGAAAGCAGCAACGGCACTTCACAAACTGGCACAAGACCGCAACTTGCTAAACTACAGACAGTGTGGGAGGACTGAGACTCATGTAGAAGATCTGAGGTTGCTTTAAATTAATTCTACTGGATTTTTGCAGCCCATCTCAACACATTTGACAGAACATTTCTGTGCCATGTCAGAGGATGAAAGCAAGAAAGGAAGAAACATCCAGGTTGCACAGAAGTGGTTGGGTGGATAGATTTTACCTGCTTACAGTTTCTGGCAAGCAAGTCGAAGGCCTATCTAAAGACTTTCAGAAATAAATACTGTGTCTAGAAGAAATCTAAGGATCTGCTCATCCTTGATTTTATTAAGTAAACCTTCAAATTGAAAACAGATATAAATAAAGAGTCTTGGCAGCTGTTTGATTCAGAACCAGAATAGAGAGGAGAAGTAAACAGCATGTGACAGTTGCTTAAAGGGTGATTTCCACATGCATCATCCCAGTTCCTATGGCCATAGGATCCTACTGCTCCCCTACTTGGCAAAGTATCAATGACATTTGTAGTAGGATTACTGAGATGGGGATGGTGTCAGTAACATTTCCTAGAGAACTGACTGAACAGATTTCTAACTTACACAGTTGATCTTTCCAGGACAATCAAGCAGCATGATCATGGTGCTCACTTTTAACAGTGATTATTTTAATTTTGTGCAAACACAAAGTGTAAATGAATGGCAAGCAAAAGACAGCAAGCCCTCCTTCAGGTCTTGTTTAACCAAGGATCACGGCTGACACACTTCTTGCAATGCCAGTCCATAGGGGTGCATGCTGTAGGCGACAAGCTACTCAGCAGAGGGGTTCCCATCAGCCCTTCCCACCACCCCACATGGACACCAGCACTCACTCGCTCCACCAGTACTCCATCGTCGTAGTTTGGGCTGAACTGGCCACTGGGCAGAACGACAGATGCTCTCCGCTACCTCACCAAAGACAGGCAGAAGAGAGAGAGAGCAACTTATGAGTTTAGAAGGAATTAAACTACTTTAATGAACTATTAATAATAAAATAAAAAGGAAATAATGAAATATATACAAAGCTGTATCAAGTTCCCAGGATGACAATCACATCACCGGCTGGCACTGGGGAAGTCCCAGACTGGACTCAGTGATGGACAGGAACTGGATTCCAGGTCTGGATTCAGGATTGGGATCGAGATCAAAGGCAGACAAACAGAGTCCTCCTCAGACACTGGCCATTGAAGAAAGAGGCTGAGCCTTTGATCCCTCAGCTTTATACTGAGCATGAGGCAGATGGGATGGAATACCCTGTTGGTCAGTTTTGGGTCACCTGTCCTGTCCCCTCCTCCCCACAGGTGTGATCCCTCAACACTTTTCCGCTTCCGCCCCTCCAATGGGGAACATAACCCAGTTATCTGCCCTTGGGTGTTATAGCAATAAGTACAAGCAGGAGCCTCTCTGCATACCGTTCCCTGGCATCAACTATAAACATAGGTCTTACCACTCTGCCAGTGAACAGTTTCTGCTGTTAATTTCATAGTAGTTAATTTCAGTAGTTAGAAGAGGCTAAGAAGCAAAGTTACTGAACAAAGTTGGTCCTGTTTTACCTCAAACCAGGACAGCCTTTCCCACACAAAGTAAACGCAGAGGAAGCAGGTAAATCTTTCCTGTGATGATTCTTGGCTGGAAAGGAGATGGCAAAATACCTCCTTCCTGAAGGTGATGACTGTTTTGACACCTGAGCTAGCATTCAAACACAGCACTTTGGCAACTTTAACCATCTTTTCTTTGTCATTGTAGAGAACTTTAAAGTATTGTTTCTCTGTCAGGAGACATGACTGCCATGTTATGTTAGTCACCATGCTCGGTGGCACTAGCAGATGGCACAGCTTGCAAGGATTGCTAAGGAAACTTCCCACAACCCGCAACTAGGCAGTGAACTCTCTGCACCTGAAAGGTTCAGTGCTGTCCACTTGCAAGTAGCTGCCCCTGTCTCATGGAGAAATTTCTGGGCACTGAGAGGAGAAAAATCCTCCAAAATAAAATATCCATTCCTAGAGTTCCTTCTTCAACTCTGAGAAGATGCCATTAACAGACAAATAAAATCACTGAGGAAAAGACATTTT